ATCATGACCTGAGCCGAAGGCAGGCGCCTAACGACTGAGCCACCCAGGCGCCCAACAACAGGGAAGATCTTAAAGGACATGTGAATGTTTCTCCTGTCATGAAGCACCGTTTCCATAAAACTCTGCTCACCACGTTGTTTCTACATAACTTTTTGGTCATTTATTTTGTTTTTTCCAAGAGTCAAATTGTCTAATGGTTAATTAAGCATCCATCCACAGGAAAAGGGAAGATTGAACATTTTAAAAGGTCTCATTCCTGAATTAGTGCTCCTCCGGTAGGCCATCTGGAAGGTTCCAGAAAAACTGCCTGATTTTTTTTTTTTTCAAAAGCCTTCTCAAAATCATTGCCTTATTTTTAGTAGGGCTTCAAACAAAATCACATGAAAAATCTCAAGGCATTTTTATCCAGAATAAAATTCTCTTTTAAAATTTTTATTTATTTATTTTGTTGGGAAGGGGTAGAGGAAGAAGGAGAGAGAGAATCCCAAGTGGGCTCCATGCTCAGTCTGGGCTTGATCTCATGACCCTGAGATCATGACCTGAGCCAAAATCAAGAGTCAGACGCTCAACCAACTGACCTGCCCAGGCACCCCTGGAATAAAATTCTCTTTTAAAACTGCCTTTGTCCTTTTCTTTATAAACCACTCATCTCAAGGTATATTTGTTCACACATTTTATGCATTTATTTTAGAGAAGTAAATGAAGAAAAAAGTCTTTATTTCATTTTCTTGCATTTAAAAGCAACCACAGTATATAAACAAAATATAATCTTTTGTTATTATTCCTACTGTAGAAAAGAGAATGTCAAGGTGCCGACCGTGGCTGGAGCAGAAGGAGGGAACTATCAAAGACCCCTAAAAAGTTTCTCAAGGTTCTCAACAACTTGGTGAATTACTCTCTCCTCCAATTCAGCCAGGGAGGTAACATGGGTGTTTTCCTTCCCGCGGCCCCCTCCCCCCCAATAGTAAATATATCTCACAGAGGCTTGCTTCACTGAAACCTCCATAGGGAATAACAACCGGCCTGGAGACCAAAATGGATACATGACAGATGTTGGTAAGGCTGCAACCCAGGAATGGGAAAGAGCAAAGTTACATCTTGCTCCTTCAAACCAAAAGGCTCTGCCCAGTTCTTAAAAAAAAAGTAAATATTTGTTGTGAATCATTGTAAAGCATTTATCTGCGCCGCCAGAAACACAGAATCCATTATAACTCATTGTTCCAAATATTAGTAATTATATGTCTTAACAGGGATTCAGCTTCCACAGGTCAAGTCATGTCCCCTGGAACCTTACAATAGAAGGTAAAATCCTAATGCCATGTGATTACTCTGTCCTCCTCCTAACACACTGAAGAAATCACACTAACTCTACCTAGAGATAATTTTCAACCAGGCTTTCCTCCCCATAGAACTGAGTAGTAGTATTTTCTCCAAAGGATTAAAACCTGACTAATTTACCATTGAATAGTACCTTGCAGATTACCATGATCTTTCATCTACACTTCTCCTGTGAAACCTACAGATTAGGAAATGGAGTTGCTGAGCAATTAAGAAATGTTTGCTCTGTCACTTGGCTAACAAATAAGGGAGCAAGGGAGGACAGGGTAAGAGACACAGCAAGTCTGGGCTTAAGGGTCAAACTCAGGATTGAATCTCAGCTCAGCTAACCACAGCAATACAAACCCGCGCAAGCCCCCCCACCTTTTTTTAACCACAGCATATGTGTAATACCTCACTAGGATGAATGAGAATGAAATAGGACATGTAAAAAGTACACAACAGAATTCGAGGCACATAAAAGATATTCGTATCGCATATTAGCTTCCCCCAGTTGACATATCTGTAAAAAGGAGGTACTAAAACCTAGCTCATGAGGCCCGTGTGGGGATTAAATCATGCCCTGAAAGGGCTCACCATGAGTAGTTTTCTCTCCTTGCCGGTGTGCTGACCCCACTCCCCACCCCCATACCAGGACTGCCTCTGTGGAAAGGTCAATTCAGGGTATTAGAAAACCTCTTTAGAGAGAGGAAGTTTATCTTCATATGTCAACAAGCATTTGACTTATCTACTGAATTTCATAATTGTCTCTAAGACAAAATTACTAAAATTAAATGTTTTTCAAAGACCAAGAACAAAGCCAAAGTCACTAGATAATTTCAGCATACCTAGAGGCCCTCATGATGATGAAAGTTTGAGAACATACCAACTTCAGTCCACCCTCTTCATTTTTTTTTTTTTTTAGATTTTATTTATCCATTTGACAGAGAGACAGCAAGAGAGGGAACACAATCAGGGGGAGTGGGAGAGGGAGAAGCAAGCTTCTCCTTGAGCAGGGAGCCCGATGTGGGGCTTGATTCCAGAACCCTGGGATCATGACCTGAGCCGAAGGCAGACGCTTAACCTACTGAGCCAGCCAGGTGCCCCAGGCCACCCTCTTCAACCATCTACACATTTCTTTTTTTTTTTTTAATCAGGGGTGTCACTTTAACTTAACCAAAGGTTAGATGGAGTGAGAACTACAGAGAGAGATGGAAAGAAAAGGAAAATAAAAAAACAGCAGACAGAAACGACTGAGAAGTTTTCATCCAAATCTGATTACTTCCTCAACGCTATGAAGTGTCCAAACAGCCACTTTTGGATGAAGCTGGCAGTATCAAAATACGGCCCTGGTCTTCTTGAGCACCGCGGTGCACGTACTCAGCCAACGGCACGCGCTGGTCCAGCAGCAGGCCCTGGCAAATGGGTGTTTGCTCAAGCGGCAGCTTGGAGTCACCTTCACCCAAAGTGACAGTGTCAATTAAATTTCAAATGCAATTCTCAAAGGAAAGCATGCAGGAAAACGTTCCTCTCGTCCTAAGGGCTGTCATTTATTTATTTATTTGGAAAGTTCTTCGTTGGTTAAGGTTGGATTTAATTCGATATTCATGTACATATTGTACCCACACCGCGGGCTGTGGGAAATGCCTGTCGTTGTCGCCCTCTTGAGTTTTTAGAATAATGAGGTGCTCAGAATCCGGTACCGTGTGCACTTGAGAAGGACCGTAGAATTTCCGTAATAAGCACCTTTGCGTTTGCAGGCGCATAACCAATAAGGGGGGTGGGGGGAGGAGGGCAACCAGAATGTCAAAATACACCCCACCCCGTAAAACACGCATTTCTTCTTCCTAAAATTTAGTTCTGGAGAAAAAAGCGAGAGCAAAAAAATGCAAACCACCCTGGGAGAGACTCTTCAGCCCGACTCCTGGGGCGCGCAGGGCGGGGGGCGCGCAGGGGAGGGGGCGCGGGGGGGCCGGGCCGGGCTCTCGCTAGCTGCCCGCCTCCTCGGGCTCGCTGCAGGGCGAAGGCGCCGACGAGGCCTTGGACTCGCCGTCGCTGTTGCACTCGGCCGGGCGCGGACTGCGGGCGCCGGCGGGGCCCTCCTGCCCCCGGCCGTGGCGCTCCAGCAGCTCCTGGAGGTGCCTGATGTAGCCGATGGCGGCGCGGAGCGTCTCCACCTTGCTGAGTCGCCGGCCGGCCAGCTCCCGGGGCAGGTGGTCTCGCAGGCGCGCGTAGCCCTCGTTCACGCAGCGCACCCGCTGCCGCTCGCGCTCGTTGCGCCGGCGGAGGAAGGCGGGCTCCAGGGCGCCCTCCAGCGGCAGGAGCCGGCAGGGCGGCCTCGCGGCGCAGCCCCCGGGCGCCCGCGGCCCACACGCGGCGTCCAGACGCCGGGAGACCGTGAGCGGGTCCCTGAGAGGGAGGCGGGGCAGGGTCCCCGGCAGGTCCGGGGGCACGGTGAGGAGGTGATACGGTGAGGGCAGCAGGCCGGCGGGTTTACGTTTCTCCATTCCCTCGCCGAAAAGCAAACAGATCAACCCAAGAGACTAATCTCTTAGAAGATGAGACTTAAAATCTTCGAAGCGTAGATCATCTGCTGGTCCATTCAGATGGACTTTAAAGAAGTGTCTGGTTCCAGGACAGGCTTCAGGGAAACTCTGCATGATTCCCTAAATTCATTGCACTCCTCGATCATTTATAAAGCTCCAGACGGAGGTGATAGGCAAAGATATGGGACCCCCTAATCCACACTTCAAACCCTGTCTTCCCCCTCTGATCTTCGTATTTCAACAGATAACAAAAGGGATGCCTCTGCTCGGCCCCTTAGCCTGGAAATGTGAGCGTACACCAAACAGGGTAATCTTTCAAAGTCACCCAAGCTTTTCAATTACTGTAATCCACCGCTCTGGGTCTTCAAGAGTATAGGAATCTTCCAGGTTTCAAAAGAGCCCCTCCCAGGAACCCACAGATCTGGCGGCTGAGCGAAAGTTTACCAGAGGCTTTCTCCTTGAAAATCAAAACTTGACTGCCCTTTGTGGTTTCCGGCGTCCAGGACTAATGGAAAGAGCTTTCAGACTGTTTGCAAACTTACCTTTGCTCTTCCATTTCTGTGGAGGTGGAGGGAAGACCTCATCAAAGGAAAGACTGCTCTCTTGTGGTTATAAGATGTGTCAAGCAAAAGGGGACCTCAGGGGAGGCTTGAGGGTTTACTTCTCCAAAACCCAATCTTTTAAAAACCCCATTAGACGTTTTTCGAAGAGACGAGGGAAGGAATATACCTTAGCAACGAAGGTAAGGGTGCGAGTATTACGCTCCTGCGTATGGGGAACGCAGGACGTTTCATGTGTGTGTGATACTTTTATTTAAGAGCACATCAAAAGGTTGAACAGTAACAAACACTTTTAGCCAGTCATTTCTCACAGTGCTTACTGTAAACACAGGTTAAACACTGCTTCCCAACCTCTTCTAATCCCACCCAGGATATAAGACCATTTTTCCATAGTGCAAAAAGTGTATTTCTATTGTATTCTTCTTTTTGTCTTAAAAACAAAGATGCAATTTATTTTCTCCCTTGGGGGCAGGTGAAGAGCCCCAATTCCAGGGATAAATGATGATGGCTTTGAAGACTTGTCTTTTTAACACACCACCAAAAAAAAAGAATAATTAATCCATCTGTGTTGGTGAAAGGCTTTGAAGATGAAAGTGTCATTAAAAATCCAACAGTACTGGTTAATGTCAAAAAATGTGTTATCACACTGAAAATCAGATTTCTTGTTCTGCAAACCCAGCACATTAAAGGCAACTTCTACTTTTAAAAGTCCAACTTAAAAACAAGAAGCAAATACCCCTGACATTTATGATCAGACTTTCTCCCTATTCCTCAGGAGTCAGGGTGTTGCCCTGACATGTTTTTTTTTTGACAAGTGCTACCCTAAATGATCTGCCCGAAGCACCTGGAAAAACACCTCCATCAAGGCAAATAAAATAGAAATAATTATTCCTTTTAGGCATAAGTTAGTCACATTTTAAAAACTCCCTATGAGGTTTGTACCAGCAAACAACCTAAGGTGTCACCTTGATTTCTCAGTAGAGTTGAGAACAATCCAGAGAAAGCCCTTCTGGCTGGGAGACAAGCCCACCAGAGAGGTAGAAAGACTATTAGACCACAAGGTGCTTTGGACCATGTTAAGGATTTTGGCCTTTGTTCTAAGAGTGATGGGAAATTAATGAGGTGTTTTAAGCAGAATGGTGACAATGTAAGATTTTGTTTGTCAAAAACATCACTCTGCAGACTGGAGAGTAGACAGGAGAGGGAGGAAAGGGCAAACAGATAAGAGATACCATATTTCATCCTCAGATTGGAAAATGTAAATGTAAAAATTGCTAACATCAAGGGCAGGCAGGAATTTGGGGAAGGGGCAGAAGCATAAATCGCTACAAGCTTTTGGGAAAGTAACTATTAAAATTAATACTGTACCTCACATGTCCTTTGACTCAGAGATCCTACATAGATAAATGCACCGACGTGAATTTATATGTACAACATTATCTACTGTAGCATTGTTTGTAGTGATTTTTAAAAGGAAAAAAAGGAAACAGCCTGAATGTCCATCAATAGAGGGCTAATACTTCAAGAATATGTTATTATTAAAAATAATGAGTTAGGGGCGCCTGGGTGGCTCAGTCGTTAAGCATCTGCCTTCGGCTCAGGTCATGATCCCAGGGTCCTGGGATCGAGTCCTGCATCGGGCTCCCTGCTTGGCAGGAAGCCTGCTTCTCCCTCTCCCACTCCCCCTGCTTGTGTTCCCTCTCTCGCTGTGTGTCTCTCTGTCAAATAAATAAATACATAAAATCTTTTTAAAAAAATAATGAGTTAGAGCTATATGTAAGAACTTTGCAGAGCTGTGCATAATGTGGCAAGTGAAAAAAAGCAAACTGAAGAGTAATATATATATGCAGTGTGAATTTAAAACAAACTATTCTACATGATCCATATGTCTTTATATGTATTAATGTGAGCACAGGGAAGGAAGTGGAAAGACACACAGTAAATTTCTGTCATTGGTTGCTTTAAAAAGGTGGCTCTGGGGAGAAGGGGTGTTGTTCATTTTTCTTTATAGATCTCTACTGCTTAATTTGTTACAAAAGGCACATACTACTTTTGTATTTTTTTAATCTAGTGAGGTTTAAAATAATAAGACAAAATGTACAGAAAACTCGAATGATAACCTGATTTGACCCAAACCAACAGATTTATCATTATAATGTAAAAGTCTTGGGCCGGGTTTTCTGGCTCCTATAAATTCTGTCTCTGAGGAATAAGTATCTACAAGATTTTTCTTTTCTTTTTTTTTTCTCTACTAAAACCACATCAGAAATGGTCAGATCCTGGTTCTTTAGTCATCTTTTTATAGGGTCCGAGTAATGTTATGAGATATCTACATGGTCACAAAGGATGTTGTTAGTATTATGCTTTTTGAAGGTGCAAGGGCATTAGAAATAAGTAGCTTCTTCAGTGAGAGCATTGTTTTGTTACATAATGTGTGGGCAGAGGCTGCGTTCTTGTCACATAAGAGATCAAAAGAGGAGGTTCTGACTCCTGATTTCTCTGATCAGTTTTGACCCAAACAAATGCTTTCTCCAACTTTAAAGATGTCTCCCATCCGGATCAGGTCTAGATATGTTACAGATACGTCTAGAACAAGTGACAGATACGCTAAGCCTCCAAGGACACTTGGGACTAGGTTTAGTTGTCCTTTTTGGATCTGCTTGTAAAAAGGGAAATGGGGATTCACTGAAGATTGGGCTCAGTAGATTAAAAGATATCTCTAAGGCTAAGGAAGACTTCCACCTCTAAAACTCAGAGAGGTCCCTCACCAGCTGCTTGAAACATGTGAGATGGGGTGCCTGGGTGGCTCAGTTGGTTAAGCGTCTGCCTTTGGCTCAGGTCATGATCCCAGGGTCCTGGGATCAAGCCCCGCATCGGGCTCTCCGCTCAGCCGGGGGTCTGCTTCTCCCTCGCCCTCTCCCTCTGTGATCTCTCTCGCTTTCGCTCTCTCTCAAATAAATAAATAAAATCTTTAAGAAAGAAAGAAAGAAACATGTGAGATGAAGACTTTAGATTGGTTCTTCTTCCAAAATATTTGAAATCACATTATAGATTTTGGTTTCCTAGGCTGGTGGCACAGAGGTGTACATCCCTGTCTGGACGCCCCCATACCTGCTACTTGCATCAGCTGTCACAAGGGGAAACAGGAAAACATATGTTACGACCTCAGCGTAGAAATAAGTTTTCTCACAGGTGTAGATAACTAAATCTCAAACTGAATAGATCATACGATTCTATTCTATTCAGTTAGTCCTTTTCTACCTAGCTCAGGTATAAGCTATCTATATTACCATGTGCAACATCTCCTAGGGGTCTTTGGGGGTACAACTAAATACTGAGACTCAGTAAGACTACCGGGGGCCACATTTGGTGTCGGATTCACTGGGAAGGATACAGATCAAGAACAATGCTTGGAGCAGGGCTGAACTAGGCATTGCACCTCCCTGGGAGTCTTGCAATGCTCTGTGCGGCAATCCACACAGGTGCTTCTCCCAAGCCCCCTGGAGCCCAGTTACAGCTCAGGGTGTGGAAAGAAGACTCACGTCAGCCCCACGTGGTAGCTGTCCTGACTTAGCAGTCTCATACCCCTCAGGAGCCAGATCATTCTTGGAACGAACCCACACGCATAACTTCCAGGGACCCCACCAGGGGCCAAGGAAAGAGTCTTCCCCCTCAGAGAAGCCCAAAGCTAAGTATTTAGAGTTGTGCCAGATGCCATTGCTTTAATACGAGTAAGGTTGCCTAATGACATAGTTGACATTCTATCTTTATCAGGTTTCAGAGGACCAGAAAACAGAAAGTTTAACTGAAGGTCGAATTGTCACACAGAAGGGTGAAACCTTCGTGAATCCTTTACCAGCACCATTCCATTCTATTTTTAAAAAAAAAATTTTAAAGATTTTATTTATTCATTCGAGACACAGAGATACAGAGAGAGAGAGAGAGCACGAGCAGGGGGAGAGGCAGAGGGAGAAGCAGGCTCCCCACTGAGCCAGGAGCCGGACGTGGGGCTGGATCCCAGGACCCTGGGATCACGACCTGAGCCGAAGGCAGATGCTTAACCATCTGAGCCACCCAGGCACCCCTCCATTCTATTTTAAAGATGATTTAAAGAACCACAAATATTTAGGTACAATGTATTACTAGCTTTTCTGTCCTTCTCAAACACTGCATGCTAACCCCGTCTCTGCGGTCTTTTGTCATACAACAATGTAAAATTTTGCTGTCATCAAACACATTCATCCTTTCCTTGTGGCTTTTTGTCTTTTCTCTCTTCTTTAAGGCTGTCTTCTCCTGCCACAAGTTTTGCAGGCCTTTTCCTTGCCTATGTCTGGCACCTCGGTGTGAATTAGAGAAAGGCACCAAACTCGAGGCTTGGAGATCGATGGCTGACTGCACAAG